TCAGAGGAAGAAAGAGTCTTTCATCTCCTGTTATAATTGAACAATCTCTCTTGCTTTTCTAACTCTCTGCAAGATGTCTGCCTGGATTTTTCAGTGCTTACCTTCCTTTTCTCCCATCCACCATGGAAACAGCTTAAAGAGAAAAGCTTAAAGAAAAAGATCATCATACCTTATTCCTTAGCAGCATTCCCTGGACACATGAGTGTTTTATCTCAAATAGTCTTAAAGTAATTCACAAAGAGTGGATCTGGCTTATCAGCAATACTCTCCAATCCCTACGATGCAGGTAGAGAATAACAACATGCTGTGTTTTAGAGAGGTGACAACTGACATGCTGCAGCTACAGCACCCTTTTACAGTAGGTCCATCCAGATTCACGCACGACATGCTTCTGGGCAGGAAAAAATGTGACCTGAGAAACTGTCCGTCAGAGGTCTACTTGGCATCTCAACCCTTGGACATACAGGTAGCAGCCCTTCATTATGCAGTCCCTGATCAACTTGCAACTCAAGACTGAAAGCAGAGCAGGAGATTTGGGAAGGTGGATGTAAAGATGGCGTATGGTTGTCTCAGTCTCTTTGCTCCTTGGCTGCTGTGCACACATTTTCTTCCCAAGCATGATTTAGAGCAGCCTGGTCTTGATCTCACCTAATTGTGTGCCTAACAGCTATAAAATAGGACCTTGTGATCGATATGTCCGGAAACATGAGGTCATGACATCAAAAGGCAAGTTCTGTAGTGAAAGTATGGTTTTCAGGTGTCGCCAGCTTCAAAGCTCAGCAGTGAAACAAAGGAGAAATCTGTATTTGGGGACCTTCATGGAAAGCATTACCACTTGTTCATCAGAAGTACCAAAGCAGCTAGTAATTAAAACCCTATAATAATAATAATAAAATAAAATAAAATAAATTCTCTGTCCCATGAAAGTAATAAGTTTCAGGATTTTTTCACCACCAAGGTGAGTGAAATAATAACTGGGAACGTCATTGCTGAGCTCTTTAATAACCTGCACAGAAATAATGCACAGACCTACAGCAGTAGCGAATGGCCAACTCTCCCAGGAAAGGTTTGCTTGACTTTTTTGCACCACATCTGTGCTTGCTTTGTCATTCTGCCATCTGCTGTAACAAAATACAGGCAAAGCATTTCAGAAAACAACCCCTCCACACTTAAAAATGCTCCAACCTGGAGCACAGGTCTTTACTTCTCACAAACTGTAGTGCTTGTTATCCTCTCCTCCTCCTCATCCCTCAGGCCCCTCTCCCCACATGCATGATGAATTACATACACATACCAAGCACGGAGAACACAGAATCCCATTGATTTTGCCACAATGTTCCTATTAAATTAAACGAATGGTTATGCCCTTCACTTTGCTGCACAAACGGATTTGCTGAAAGGTCAGAAATAGCAGGTCATTATCATTACAGTTTTAATTTTTGAACTCCCAATCAGACTTGTTTCCTGTTTAGTATTGTCTGCAGATACGCAATGTATAGCTGAGCGAAGGAGTGATTGCTAAAGCATTGAAATAGCAGAGTATGAGCAGAGTGGTTTTTGAGCACACACTCCGTATGGTCCAGTTTCTTCCTGGTGCAGCCGCACAAATCTCTTGGTAGCAGTAAAATCGCTGCACAGACTTCATTCCTGAACACATGTTCAAAGGTGATAAAATAAATGCAGATGGTTTCCCAAAACCACAGCGGAGCATTTTTTTACTGTTACTAAATGGACTGTAAAAAAAAACAGGGGAAAAAATGGATAAAATACAGTTTCACACAGACAGGCAATTTCAGAATAACATTTGTTTGTTTGGGAGAAAAGCTAAACAAAATGTGTGTTTATAAGGAACTATTGGCAAAACAATATTGACACAGCATCTGAGCTGCCTAATGGGAGTGAGTTCTAGAATACTCAAATTAAACTCCTGTTGCAAGCTGGATATTTTGCTTAATTACTTTGTACATACCAAAAAAAAAGTTGGAGAGGAACTTCAAATTAATTGTGCCATGACTGAAGTTGACAATAAAACCATTCCCAGCTACAGTGAAAAGCAGGATTAGGCCTTAACAAATTTATTACAGGCTTTGTTTACAAACATGTTACAAAATTATACAGCATATGCGTACACAGGATTTACAAGAACGCGTAACTGATGTCTGCGACTGCTCTGCTCTCAGGTTGAGATCTGCTGGTTTTGCTTCACAGGGGGCCTGATCCATCTTCCACTGGGGAAGGTGAGAATTTTTCCTTTGACTTCAAAGGAAACTGGATCAGATCCAGAGTGTAACACTTCCGTTCATTGTTATGCTGGGGTGGGAAAGAGGCAGCAGATCTAATAACCTTACACACCATGTATCTTCTTTATTGAAAGTGTTTCAAGCGACAGACATTGCATTTACTCCAATACATTTTTGCTGGCCCCTTGTAAAATAATCTGTGTATTGGTGAAGTTAAGAGTCAAAGACTAGTTCCTGTTAAAGGAATTGTTGTCACAAATTGTTTTCTTTGAACCAATAGAGAATGAACCTCCCTTGATTTTCAGTGACTAGAATAAAGGCATGAGAAGCAACTCTGATGTTTGCATTGCTACAAACCAACTTTTTCATGCTTATCTTCATTAGAATTTATTTGGATTTACAGTGTTACAAACAAGCATCACATCCACACTGTAGAACCAGGGTAGTTTCCAATGAGATATTTTATCTGTAAGTAACAGTGACTAAACAAGCTCAGTTAGCTTTCTTACTTCCTCTTCTCACATGGAGGTAGATCTATCTAGCATACTGAAGCATAGAGATCCCTAAAGTTAATGATCCACAGCAGTATCTGCTCTCAATTGGACTCAGCATCTGAAGATGATCCTTATTTGGGAATTCAGGGTACAAAATTAGATGTTTAACTTCCAAAATTTTCAGAGGGACAGGACTCTGAAAAATATGCTTGTCCCTCCAAACTGAAAAATTAATGAATAGTGATTGTTTTTTTCCTGTTGAAACTAAAACTTTCCTACTAGTAAAACTAGAAAAAGTTCTGTTGAGGATTCATTTTTTTAATGTTTGCCAAGAAAGGAGAATGTGGGAAAAAATCTAGTCAGATCTATCAGGTACCAAGTTCCTTGTTTTATTTCATACTCTCATTCCTTTAAAAGATTGCCTTCATATTGAGTCTCTGAAGTTATTATTGCTTGAAGCAAAGTTAGGGTTTAGTCCCATGAGGTGATGATATTTCATATGAGATAGGTAGTGGCCTCATGTTGAAAATTGAGATGGTTCTCAAAATCTTTGTTTAGGGCTTCCCCTGAAGAATTATACCTACACACTCCAACATGGCTTTCAGACTCACTTCTATTCTAGTGCTTGGCCTCACGAGCAACGTGTCTGGTTCTCCAGTGGATTTATGATGTATAATGCTTTCTGTAAGGGATTAGGGGAGACCACACAATTTGGTGCCTTTGATGGCTTGTTACAGATTTGAGATTGGTTCTCTGGGAGAAAAAAAATCAATGAAGAAAGGCATCCTGCAACATGGCTTTTGAGTACTCTGATTTCATTCTCGTTTGTGATGCTGAACACACTACAACAGTGAAAGCTGAACTGTAAAAACCTAAGACCAATAGAGCTGTAATGCTTTCTGAATGGCATTTATCAGCCCTGACTGTGTGTTAAGGTCTAGGTAGACACAGATAATGTACGCAGGCCAATCTTAACTCTGTTGACATCCATGACCAGACTCTCATTTACTTTTATGGGAATGGGATCCCATCCAGGGCATTATACAGCTAATGTATAATAGACTGTCTCTTCAAATAGTGAAATTATTGCTGTGCTCAGTGGAATTACACAATAATACAAAAAGGAGTTTGAGGTATATAAACGCTAGCACATTTCTTTGTCCTAAGTAGCAACTCACCTGTATTACTGAAGAGCTTCATTATAACCATGGACTACCTGGATATTAGTCACCAGACTGCTCAAAAAGCATGTCCCTATTTCATGTCCCTATAAAAGCTACCAGGTTTGTCAAGCAGTTCTACACATTTTTCCCTTTGTGAAAAATGGAGAATGGATTGCTCAGGAGAAGAACATCTTCGTATGGGTGGGTAGCTTTGACAGTCATGCCAGGATAGAATATATTTCTTCATAAAAATTTGCAAGCCAAGGGCTCTTTTAATGTTAGGACACCACCAGCTTTGTTTCTACTTTAAAAACTCAGACAGAGATGAATGATGCAAGAATGCAAACACAAGACAATTGATTTGTGTGAGGAGGAAGAGGCTGAACACAAGAAATAGTAAATTCTGAAGAAATTATATTAATGAACAGTTTAGAGTGGGTCTTAGCTCCAGTCAATTTTTGCTACAAATATTTCAGACTTTTAAAATATTATTTCTATGAGGAGCTGGCAGCATTAGAAACACTTGCAAAAGCAAATGTGCCTCAAAAACATAAACAAAAGTTACCAGATTATTGGCAGTCATTCTGAAATGTTGATAGAGGGAAAATGGTCATTTAGCTGACAAAACTGGCATCATACACAGACATTGTATTTTATGGCTACTTGATGCCTGTAGCATTGATATAAACTGCAGGCTGCAACACATATTTTGGTCCATTTTTGTTTCGGCGGTGAGGAGTCAACACTGCATCCAATTAATGTCCTGATTTGAGGAATATAAATATGTACACAACTCTTGATATGGAGCTGATTTTTAACAAGTTTACTAAATGACAGTCGCTGGGTTGACAATACTGAATGAAAAAATACTGATTTTACACAGATTTTACAGTAAGGTTATGGTATGCTGCTAACAAGCAGTGTCATAAACATAGTCTAAAAAACCCCGGAGCTGCCCACAGCAGATGCACACACCCTTTGCTCTTGTTTACTGAGAGAGAAAGCTTATATACTGTAGATTTGCTGAAGTTTAATAAATAAGGTCAACTTATAATATATAAAACAATATAAACATTTATATGCTACATGCATATCATATAATTTAAAGTAATAATTTATATAGCAAAGAGATGCAGATTTATGTTCTTCCTATTTTCCTCGACAAGGCGCACACGCAGGAGGTGTCTATTCTTATCCACCTCCAGCCCACCAGTTTGTTGTTTTCTGAAGTCAGTGCTCTAACGTATGTCTGGGATGTCTTGCATTGGGAGTTCCAGTGCTTGTCATCAATGCCACGGCAGCCGTTTTTCACAGGCTTGGCTTCTTTACACCTCGTTTCGTAAAAGTATTGCTTAACTGGAGAGTTGCCTGTTTTAATTTCTCCCAGCACAGTTACCTGGTGTCCTCTAATGTCAATCGCAGACGATTTGTCCGTGACCCATAAACTTTCACTGTCACAAACGGAATATTCCCCTCGGTGGCTTTTATGCTCTGCATACCTTTTCCGCCGGGACGTTCTGTTCACCACCACAGAATTCCCAATATAATCCTCCATGAGGTACAGTGGCGGCGGTTCCAGCGGCGTGTTGTCGCTCAAGAGGACTCGAGGAGAGTTGTAGCGTTTCTGCTGCCTCAAGAGGTCTGTATCCATTGAGATAACTGGCTGGAAGTCTGATTTCACATTTTCGTCTCCACCCATCTCTTGCTGAGTGTCTGCCTTCTGCACTGTGTTTTGATAGTTCTCCTTAATATCTACCATCTGCTTAGAAAGCTTGTTTTTCAAAATGTCTGCCTGAATGAGTTTCATAATAAGGGAATTTATTGAATCTTCTGGCAAACTCCTTTGATCCATGTTGGTAGACTGGATGCCACGAAGATAAGTGAGAAATATCACATAAAACAAGATGGACATCACCTTGTTCACCTGTAAGATCTGCAAAGAAACAGAGAGTCAATATAAAAACAATTAAATAGGGAAGTTTACTAAATGCCGTAGAATTTAAAAATTAGGATTTGTATTTAACGTCTTACGTCTGCACATTAGAGATACAGACAGACCATGTGTTTCTTTGAAGATAATTTTTCATTGTATTTTCTAATGAATGTAAGTGGCTTATGACATCATTTTTTTCCAGTGTGTCATCTATACTTCATACTTTTCATGATTACCTCACTTTTCCTGCATATAGTGGCAGATATATCAGTTAGGCCCTTTCTCTACAGAACAGCTGGGATAGTATTTCCAGCTTTCAGCAGCAGAGATAGGCCAAATTAGTTCTACACAGTCTGTTTTACAGAGTGTTTTCGTTTCAAATTGCAAGATTAGCAGATTGTCTAATGGTGCATAATGAAGAAGTTCTGACTTTGCTTATTGTTGTCAATTTTTGTTTGTTGAAATCTCATGGATCTCTTAAACTCCTATTCAACCAATGGCTTGTGTTTAACTTTATCTTACGAGTGTCATCATATACTGGAAATACTGTGCTTCAATAGCTTTTTTTCTCTTTCTATCTTTGGTACTATAATGAAAAAATCTTGAAGGAAAGGGATGCAAAGAGCACATGGGGTTTCTTGTATTTTGAATTCAGAAATCAGTAGTTAGACTTCTGCAATAAAAGTCAGAAGTTCATATGGATGCACAGATCATTTTACATTGGTTGCTTGCACAGTTGGGATTTGTGGTTTTTTTTCCTTTGTTTTTTTGGGGGTTTTTTTGTTTGTTTGTTTTTTGGTTTTGTTTTCTGATTGGTGCTGTGGGTTTTTTTGGGGGTGAGGTTTGTTGGTTTGGTTTGGTTTTCAGTGAGTTCCTTCATTATGTTTATATGAATTGCAACAAAATGGATTGTAGTTAGGAATTTGCAAGGATAGATGGAGGACTTCCTTTAATCCACTCCAAAACTGAAGATTCTTGTTAAAAAAGATCAAAACGGACTCAAGATCAAGATATTGAAAACTGGACCTAAAAATGTGCTTTTTCTCTGTACTGTACTTAACCATGAACAGCTCTATATGGATTCTTGTAGTGTCCTTGTAATTCTAGCTTCTGAGCATCTTCTAGAAGCTCATTTGTCATTTCTAGGTAAATCTTTCTGTTATCCTGTTTATGAAATTGAGAACTGTGAGTATTCATCTAAGGTGATGTTTTTTTCCCCTGTAGATATCTGTGTATTTTGTATTTGCACTTACATCATGTGGGAACCCCTGTCTGTAGTACTACTTTAAGTGACTCATAACAGCCTTGAGCTAGATTCTCCTGTGCTACAAACATGTGCACTACTCTTCAGACCACTAACACTCTGGGATGAAGGCACAGAGTTATAGAAGACAGAACAGATAGAGTTGGACGAATCCTCAGTAGATCATCTGGTCCAATCACCCTCTTCAAAGTAAAGTCAACTAGATCAGCTTGTACAGGGCTGTGCCCTGTCAGGTTTTGAATATCTCCGTGGATGGACACTCCACAACCCTCGTAGGCAACCTGTTTCAGTGTTTCACCACCCTCACAGTAGAACATCAAACCAAACCAATCTAACAAACAAAACAAAACAAAACAAAACAAAAACAACCCAGCTCACATTTCAGTATTATTTCCTGTATCTCAAACTGGGCCCATTGTTTCTTGTCCTTTCTTGGGACACCTCTGAAAAGAGCCTGGCTCCATCTTTTTTACTCCTTTCTATCAGGTATTTCTGTTCTGCAGGTTAAAAAGCCCTAGCTTTCTCAGCCTTTCCTCCTATGACAGATACCCCAGTTCTTTAATCATCTTCATGGATTAGGTCCTGTATGTCCATGTCTCTCCTCTGCTGGGGAGCCCAGAACGGGACACAGCACATCAGGTGTGGTCTCACCAGTGCTTCGCTGAGGGAAAAGGATCCTCTCCCTCAACCTGCTGGTTATGCTCTGGAAACTCTGTTTTTCCCAAAAGAATCTGCAGAGAAATCAGATCTCTTAAACAGATTTTTTCCCACTTCTTCAAATCACCACTTTCTGCTTAAGAAGGCAAACAATTTTCTATTTAGTAAAGCAAAGAAAAATATTAGTGGAGAATCCTCTACCCACACTAAGCAAAACTCCCTTTAGCAACAGTGAGTAGTCCCCACTTCATAGTTTGGAACTACAGCAAAATCAGAGCTACCCTCTGTGGATGTGTGATCTGTCCTTTTATGGACAAGAAATGTGTTTTCGCCATTCTCAGTTTGTCACAGTATGAGTTCACCTAAATCTAGACTGTTGCTTGCAGCAGTCTTATGCTTTGGGAAAAAAAAAACCAACAAAAAACAAAACACAAAGATTTTTAGTTACCATACAATGACTGTCATACCTAAACAAATACTAACTTAATGTAGATGGATCTCAGAGCCCAGACCTTGCTGTATAAAAAGACCTCTTCCTGCACAATTTGGTCTTCCATCAGTAAATTATGTGCTTTTAAAACCAGCAAAAGTATTATAAAACAGACATCATTCAGCAGATTTCTTACAGCACTCAGAAGGGTTAACCCACACTCAGTATGACACACAAGTCCATAGGATTGTGAGCAAAGCTCTGACAATGCTCAGCTCAAAAGCTGAAAGCATTATTCATGCCAACATGCAGCTGCATGTAATCACTGGTCTGCTTAGTTTCAAAAACGAGTGGCACTAGCAAAATACACAAGTTGGAGCAGGTGATGAGGTGGGAAAAGTAAGACTGGAGTTCCTGCAGACTCTCTTTAATGTCATGCTGCATGCAAAAGGGCTGGTGACCTCAGGATTGGTGCAGGTCAAATGAACTGCTTTTCTCATTCATGTAGGAACCCTGTTAATGGAAAAAAAAAAATTAAAGTATTTTTCTGAACCTCACATAGAATGTTTTGTAGACTTGGTGGGGAGGATGGTAAATGCTACCTGTAATTTTATTTGTACATGGAAAGTTATTTGCTGCAAAAATACAGATCGTAGAATCATAAAATGGTTTGAGTTGGAAGGGACCTGAAAGATCATCTAGATCCACCCCCTGCATGGGCAGGGACTCGTCCCATTAGACCAGGTTGCTCAAAGCCCCATCCAACCTGGCCTTGAACACTTCCAAGGAGAGGACATACAGAACCAATTTACATTTTTCTGAGATGTTTTGGGGTGAAAAATTTCAAAAGAAATTGTAATTGCTTGATGACATTACAGTTTTCAGGGAGTTCCTCCAAGACAGTTCCTAAGTGGCTTGTTCAGAAATTCTGGACCATGGCTGGAAATTGTCAAGCACCCTGTGAAGTCCAGCATGTCAAAATATGCCTGCAACACTATTCTAGCTGGGAGTAACGGACATCACTGGGAAAATGCAGCTGGTTTACTGCCTTGACTATATTTTGGATATAAGACACTTTGAAAGTGTATTGTTTGCAGGGCTGGGCAATCTTGCTTTCAGTAAATGGCTCTTTGCCCAAAACAGAACTTGGTGCCTGTCTGTGTTGAGCATCATTTGCAATTTGTACTTTTTACTTTGTTGTTGTTGTTTTTACATGAATAGGAAGGAAAGAAATATGTAAAACATGGAAATGTTTATGTTTTCATGTTTTCAGAGCAAATAATACTGATGTTTCTGGACGTGCTACAAAAGTGACGCGATGTAATTCACAAAACATAAAAAGGGTTTGCTCAGTATAGTGAGTGAGTGTGTAGTTAGTGAGGTACCTCTAGAGAAGACAAGCATCCAGAGGCAAGATTTCGACTGAAGTATCCTACCTAAAAGAAGACTGACCTAACTTACAGGCTCGTGGGGCACTGCTCGTATGGACCTTAGCAGAAGCTACTCCTGCACAAGTATAGCTGAATTTCTGGTAGAAAGACACATTTTGCTCAAACCAAACTTGTAGTTAGCTGATAATTCAGAAATATTGTTGCTGTCCTTCAGGGTTCTTCTTGTGATTTTCCTTATATAAATCCCTGAAAAGGTTCACTGTAGCTACCTTTGTGAACTGTTGGCAGTCAATTAAATACATTTACATTCATAAAGGACGCACAGCCTAGATTTACTGCATTTAGGGTCTGGGTCCTAAACAGGCATAGGCAAACATTTCCATGGTGTCCTCAGAGCAAGAGCACAGTTCAGCAG